CCGACCCCACGATTTCTCGCCCAAAATCGACCAATATCCTTCCCCCCCCCCCCGCCTCCCCTCCACCCCCTCTCGACACCCCCAAGCCTTTGGGCTCTGTTCTTGGCACCCACGACCCCACGATTTCTCACCCCAAAACGACTCACATTCCCCGCCTGGCCACGACTGGCACGTGCGTCCATCGCCCCTCTTGTCGGCTGTGGCAACAGCTATCCAGTCTTACGCACTTTCGTCACTGACTTATGGCTCCGTTCAGCGACTTCCCTCCTTTTGCGCTCTTGGCCAGCGCAGCACGCGTTGCGCCTTTGCTTCCCATCCGCCTTCTGCGTCGTTCGCCCGGCCAACCAGCTGCTGTATTCTTCTCTGCCAAAAGCGCCTTTGCATTCAACGCATTTCCACTTCCCGCGCTGCAGCTTCGCGTCGTCGATGCATCGATTGCACTTGCGGTGATGATCTGCCCTGCCGGCCCACATCTTTTCAGAGAAACACTTTTTCTGTTGCGCCTTCTCGCGCACTACACAAGTTCTCACGTCCTCCCTCCTTGCAGCGACGCACTGCTTGCACTTGCGATGCAGATCAGCCACGCCGCCCCACATCCGATGTGAAAAACACTCATGCCGCTGCGCCACCTTGCACACCGCACAAGTTTTCATGTCCTTCCTCGCCGACTTGTCCCGCCCTGCAGCGACGCACTGGTTGCACTTGCGATGCAGGTCAGCCACGCCGCCCCACATCCGATCTGAAAAACAATCTTGCCGCTGCGCCACATTGCACACCACACAGGTTTTCATGTCCTTCCTCGCCGACTTGTCCCGCACTGACGCTGCAGCGTTGACGCATTGCGTGCATTGCATCGACGCTTTCGGCGAGTGAGTCAACATGTACTCTGAAAACTCGGTCCTTCTTTTTGGAATGCCGCAGTTGGAACACACACGCTCTTTTGCCTCTTTGGCACGGGCCTTCTCTTCCTCTCTCTGCAACTCCTTACAAGCCTTGCATGTGGGTTCCTCGTTGATAATAATATCCGCTTTGGCAAATTGATCTAGTAACTTCTCCTCGCCGCAGCGCGAACGCTTCAGGTGCCTCTTCGCCTCTTCGCAGTCCCGGCGCATTCCCCCTTTGCATCGGGCGTTCCCTGCCTTCTCCCATTGCAAATCCACGAACGCATCCTCGTACTTCCGCTTCTCGCATACGTAACACTTTCGCCTTTCGGGACAGTCCACGCAACGCCGTGACGTCAGCTTGGAGCTGTGGTGCTGCGACGTGTGGAAAGCATCCTGACCCTTCCACAGATAGCACTCCATACACTGCCACGGCGTGCCAATGCTCTTTTTGCCTTCCAAGCACAACTTGCACACGCGGAGACCGTCGTCCCGGCTCCACTGCCCGTGAGCGAACTGGTTCTTGTACTTCGCCGCCGAGCACAGTGCGCACTTCCCTGCAGGCATGAACTCCTTCTCGATTGCACCCCAATCCATGGGATCTCCCCGCAACGACTGTAAGAACAATCCGGGACCCTTCCGCTCTTTCTGAGTGTGCGGCGCGCGGTCGAAAGGCCGAAATATCAGCATGTCTTCGCGGCGCCGCACGCGCGTCAGAGCAACATAACTCGACAACGGCGACGTGCCCCCGCCAATCCTCAGATCCACGATGACACCTTGTTTGAAAGTCTGGCCCTGAGCTGAGTGGGCTGTCACTCCAAACGCTGGGGCCAAAGGAAACTGCCGCCGCTTCACTTTCAGGCGCGGATACGGCCGGCCTTTGTCCACGAACCAGTCTTTTCTCTGCGGGCTCACTGGGTGCAGGCCCGGCGTTCGGAGCCCCGGGATCGTCCACTTGCATGGGATTACGTTCCCTGCATCATCGAGACCCTCGTCGAAAAGGACGAATATCACTTTCGGCGTCTTCTGCAAGATGGTCTCCCCTCCTCGGGACACGCGACCCGCTCCTTCCTCGCCATCGCACGCCCATGAGTGCACGGTCCCAACGCGTCCGCGGAGCAGATACTTGTCCTCGCTGCGATCTATGTGATCTGTGAGGGCCACGGGCATCCCCTCCGCGATGGGCAAAAACCCGTGCAGGTCCCCGCTCTCCTTGTCGTGGCGCTGCAACCAGGCCATTTTTTGGCTCGGCAAATCCAGCCGCTCGCGCAGCGCGTCGGGCGTGGGGGTGTCGCGTGCAGGGATGTACACCATCGGCTTCTCGTGCAGTCGGGCATACTGCGACGCTCGGGGCTTGTTCACCTCATACTTCACGTCGTTGTTTGGGAACACTCCTGGAGCACACCGAAACTTCGCAGAGTGCACGCGCGGGTCATCTGGACCTGCGATGACGAGACGGCGCCGTTTGCGCTCACGCCTGCACTCCCCGCATTCCTGCCTGCGGATGTCTTTCAGGGTCACTGATCGCTGACGGCGTGCTCCGACGGCTGCCTCCTCCGAGACCCCTGCGCCGACACTCAAAGCCTGACATCTCGAGTTCCCACATCCCACCTGACCATGGGGCCAACTCCCCGGGACTCCAGTATCACGCCCGTGCAAAAAGGCATGCGTGTCTGCCGTAAGCGCTCCTCTGCGGAACTCCTCTTGCACGGATTTCAGCCAGGCGTCGTCGCAGCGCTCACGCTCCACTAGCTCTGTTACTCCCTGCACGCCCTCTTGACCACCACCCCACAGGAGAGCTTGCCCATGTAGCACTGGCGGGAGCGAGGTATACTGCCGAGCCTCCGCGATGCGCTCTGTTGGCACGTCTGCAAGGAACCCTCCGTCCGGAGGTGCCAGCTGCCAA